GGGGGACTGCGTTCGCGCTCTCCCCTGATCTTACTGGTCAAAAATAGACTGAATTTTTCCTGCTGTTTTCACCTGAACAGAGCTGTTCTCTGTGCCCTTATTGCCTCTGCTCCGTCCCGGATCCCTTCCCGCCCCAGTAAATCCCGTCCTCCGCAGCATCCCGGCGGTGCCGAGGCAGGAGCCGGTGCCGGGGTCGCTCCGGGCTTTTACAGCCGGTATTAACCTCTGAAGAAACTGCTCGCCCCGTTTCTCCCCCGAGCCCCCACCCGGGTCCACCCCGCTTCCCCCAGTTTCTCCCCCGAGCCCCCCTGATGCGCTGCGGTCCCAGAGCCCCCACCCGGGTCCACCCCGCTTCCCCCGGCCCTGCCGAGGGTCTGTCCGCACAGAGGAACCCCCGGCGCAGGAAGCGAGCCCACGAGCCTGCGGTGACCCCCAGCACGGGCAGGACGCGGTGTTACCACACGAGTTTATTTAAATAAAACCGAACACAGATGCAGCGTTGCGACCGGAGTGATGGACCAGACAAGCGATGCGACAGGGACGTGGCAGCCGGGGCGGGAGGCGCTGCGAGCCCTCGGTGACCCACCCCGGCCCCGGCTCCCTGGGCGAGAGGAGAGGGCCCACTGCCGTTCCATGCCGTGCTCAGGACAGGCCTCCTCTCCGGGACCCTGCAGGAGCCCCCCGCTGCCATGCCCGCACTGGGCCGGGCTTTCCTTTTCAGCCTTGCCAGGAAGCTGAACCGACATCTCTCTCTCCCGTTCCGTGGCCTCCCGCTCCGCCGGGCTGCCAGGCCGGCGCTCGCTCTGCCACGGGGGTCCCGGGGCCGCGAGGGTCCCAGCGGGGCGAGCGGCACGCGGCACGCTGGGCCAGCCCCCGACGACTGGGCGCTCCTTCTCCCTCTCACCGCGGGCACGCAGGACGCCGGGGCGGATGCGGCGCTCGCTCGCGCCAGGGGGACAACAGAAATAAATATGGGGAGGGGGTGGCGCGGGCCAGGCCCCGGCGCGGGGCCACAGCCCGTCGCCTGATCGGGATCTGTTCGGGAGCTGGTTCTGTTCAGGATCAGGATCTGTTCGGGATCCATTCAGGATCTGGTTCTGTTTGGGATCCATTCTGGATCGGGATCTGCTTGGGATCCATTCAGGATCGGGATCTGTTCGGGATGGGGATCTGTTTGGGATCCATTCAGGATCGGGATCTGTTTGGGATCCATTCAGGATCAGGATCTGTTCGGGGTCCATTCAGGATCGCGATCTGTTTGGGATCCATTCAGGATCGGGATCTGTTCGGGATGGGGATCTGTTCGGGAGCTGGTTCGTTCAGGATCCGCTTCTGTTCAGGATCCGGTTCCGTTAGGGATCTGGTTCTTTTTGAGATCTGGATCCGTTCAGGATCCGGATGTGTTCGGGATCTGGTTTAGTTTGGGATCAGGTTCTGTTCAGGATCTGGTTCTGTTCGGGGTCTGGTTCTGCTCAGGATCGGGATCCATTTGAGATCTGGATCTGTTCAGGAGCTGGTTGTGTTCAGGATAGGGATCCCTTCAGGATCTGGTTCCATTTGGGATCCGGATTCTGTTCTGTTCAGGTTCAGGATCTGTTCGGGATGCCCGCGTGGCGTGTGGCGGTGCGGGGCGAGGCGCGGGCTCGGCCCTCCGATGTCTGTGGTGGGGGCGGCGCGGGGCGGGCGCGGGCCGGGGCTAGTACTCGTCCTGGTCCTCTGGCGGCTGCTCCTCCAGCTCGTCGTCCTCCGGTGGGGCAAAGCCCTCCTGGGGGGGGAAGCGTGGCAGCCGTCGGCACAGGGGTGGCACGGGGTGGGCACCCCGACCTCCACCTGGCGTGGCACCAGGGCTTTGGCAAAGCCCAGCCCTCTCCTGGCACCCAGGGAGTGAACAAGGCCGAGACACCTGGCGGGGAAGGGGTCCCTGCCCTCCCAGGGAAGTCCAGGGAGCGGGACAGGGACGTGGGCTGCCCGGTGCCCGGCCCTCACCTCCGTGGCATAGAGGACGCTGACGATGCCGGTGATGATGGGGCTGTTCTCGTTCTCGTGCTCCTGGCAGATGAGCTCGATGTCCCGCAGTTTGCTGAAGTAGAAATCCCGCTCCTTCTCCAGCCCATCCACCGTCAGCTTCAGGTCCATCAGCTGTGCGACACAGCCAAAGCCTTCAGCCCCCCAAGCCCGCGGCGCCCCCGGCCCCCCGGCAGGACCCCTCCCCACCTGCTGGTTCAGCTCCAGGATCTGCGCGTCGGCCTCGGTGCCGCCGTTGCGGGCGGCGGGCGAGTTTTTCCGTAGGATGCCGCTGGGCACGTTGCCGAGGCGGGCTGGGTTCGGGGTGTTCTTGGGGCCCGTGGGGGAGGTCCTCTGGGGGACTTGACAGCACACGGGGACCAATGGGTTAATGCCGGCTGGGGGGGCTGCCAGCAGGGACCCCCCGTACATCGAGTGGGGGGCAGCAGCAAGGGCAGGCAGATCCCCTGTGCAGAGCTCAGGCTCTCCCAACTTCAGCCTCCCCCCCTGCCTCAGTTTCCCCTGGCAAATCTTGCCCCCAGCCCTCCAAGGGTGCTCGAGGCTCGTTTGGGGTTCGGCATGGGATCCGAGGAGGCCCCAGACCCTGACAGCTCCCACTGGGCCAGCACAGGGAGCCCCCAGCGCCCACGGGAGCGGCACAGCACGGGGGGGACGGCAGCCAGGGGAGGGCTGGGGTGACAAACCAGCCCGGGCCGGGCTGAGCAGGCAGGTGGAGGCAGCAGGATCCCCGTGCTCCGCCGCCCGGCTGTCCCTGCAGACCCGCCCAGACCCCCGCGGCAGGCAGGCAGGGCAGGCAGCAGAGGGGGCGCAGGCAGGGGCAGGGGGACGCCTGGCCGTGACCAGGGGTGCAGAGGGCGGGGGGCAGCGCTCGCTGGGGGGCCCCGGACATTACCTGCAGTGCCAATGGGTTTCTTGGGTTTGTTGTAGATGTGATCACCTGGGTTAGGGGGGGGCGCGACGTCCTGGCCCTGCCGCGCCAGCAGCGGGTTGTACTCCTTCCCGTCGTAGTTGGCGTCAAAGAACTTCTTGAACCACTGGATGAACTCAAAATTGTCCTGGAACTTGCCCTTCACCAGCCGCTCCACCGCGATGATCTGGGGGCACACCGAGGCGCCGGTGGGGCCGCGCTCCAGCCTGGCCCCGGCCCAGCAGGGACGCGGGCACAGGGCAGCACGGACCCCAGCGGGGTGACCTCGCTGCCCCCCGCCGTCCCCAGGGACCTACTTTGTCCACTCCCATCTTCTTGAAGGCGGCCTGCAGCACCTTGAAGTTGTGGATGTACTCGTGCTCCAGCTTGGCCTGGAACTTCACCTTCCGCAGGTGCACGCAGCCGGGGAACAGCATGTCCATGAACTGGCAATAGGCGGCCCCTGCGCCGGCCCAAGCCACGGTCACGGGGGGCTGGGGGCACCCTGACAACGCGCCCGTGTCCCCCACGCCGCCCCGCAAGCCCACCTGAGCAGAGCTGCTCGATCTTGGTGTAGTTGAGCTGCAGGGAGTCGTTGACCCAGGCCAGCATGTCATGGCGGCTCAGGTTCTCACTGGTCACCGACGTCGAGTACACATTGACGGCCATGCCCCAGCTGCCAGGAGACAGGGTCACACTGGCACCCCGGGCACCCCAGCCCCACACCAGGGCACTGGGACCCGGGGTGTCCATCCCAACTGTGCTCCAGCACCAGGGGCACTGAGACCCAGGATGCCCATCTCATCCAGACTCCAGCACCAGGGGCACTGGGACCCACTGTGCCCATCCCAATTGTGCTCCAACACCAGGGGCACTGGGACCCACTGTGCCCATCCCAACTGTGCTCCAACACCAGGGACAGCAGAGCCAGGCTGCCACCGTGCACCCTGTGGGACCCCCCCCCAATCCAGCTGCACCCCAGGGCATGGCAGGGAGGCATGAGGGCCCCCAGGAGCCCCGGTGTGACCCAGCTGGCCAGGTTCTCCAACACCAGGGGCACTGGGACCCAGGGTGCCCATCCCAACTGTGCTCCAACACCAGGGACAGCAGAGCCAGGCTGCCACCGTGCACCCTGTGGGACCCCCCCCACTCCAGCTGCACCCCAGGGCATGGCAGGGAGGCATGAGGGCCCCCAGGAGCCCCGGTGTGACCCACCTGGCCAGGTGGAGCCCTGCCCTGAACAGGGGTACCCAGGGTAGCCGGGTTTGGGGTGTTGGGTGGATACAGAGCAGGACGTGGCTCAGGGGGAAGGGGTCCCAGGACACAGGCACTGCCCAGGGGATGCCAGCACTGCCGAGGGCACTGCCCCTGTGCCCAGGGGCTGCTGCCCTGGTGAGCCCATGGGGCTCCGGGGGCTGGTGCCCATAAGCAGCTTAGGGCCCCCCTCTCCGGCCCCCGGTGCTGCCTAATCTGCCGGGATCGGGGTCCATTAGAGCAGGGCTTAGAGGGGCAACATCTGCCGGCAGGCAGCCTACGCCCAGATGGCTGGGGGCTGCAGGACCCCCCGGCTGCAGTCCCAGCACGGCAGGGCCCCAGCAGAGTGGGGGGCGCTGAGCCCCACTCTCACTGTCCTGCACAAAATGCTTCGGTGCAGCCGCCGAGGGGCGGCCCCGCCGCCCCTTCCCGGGAGCGGGGGTCCCGGTGCTCCCGCGGCCCCCCCCGCGCGGCAGCGGCGGCAGCGGCGGCGTTAATCCGCTTCTCTCCTGGGCGAGGGGGGCCGCGGGCCCGGGCCAGCTGCCAGGCGGGGGCAGGGGGGAGGTGCAGCCCCCCTAGCCCCCCTCCCCTAGCCCGGGGGAATGAGGGGGGCACAGCACAGCGCACATCTGCGGCTGCAGCAGCGCTGGGGGGCTGCGGGGCGCTGCCACCCCGGGGTGCTGCCGCCCCCCGCGGCCGGTTTGGGGGGCAGAAGGCGCAGTCCCCCCGGTGTGGGGTACAGCACCACGGTGACTCAGCACCGGCGATGTCGCACGGCCGTAGGCGATCGAACCCCCCGCCAGCTGAGCCGAACCGGGACCCCCGGGACCCCCGTCCCGCCCCGCCGTGTTACCGCACGCAGCCGCGGGGGGGGGGGGGGGGGGTTTTTTGCCCGCCGGGGGGGGGGGGGGGTCGGTATTTTTAGCCACCACCGCAGCAGCTGGAACCGAGCCCCCGCACGGCGAGGTGCGCACCGGCCCGCTCCCGGCACCGGCGACAGCCGCAGCCCGTCCCGCGGCACCGCGGCAGTGGGGAGCGGGCAGGGGTCCCCCCAGGGCTGTCCCCATCGTCCCCCCCTCCCCTGGCTCCGGCGGCGGAGCTGAGTCATGCGCGGCGCCGAGCCAGAGCCACGCGCACTGCGGTGCCGCGGCTGCCGGTACCGCCGCGCGGGGCACGGGGCTGCAGCGGGGCACGGCGAGGAGCAGCCCACACCCCCTGCCACCGCCGGCCCTTCCCCAAATAACGGGGCAGCCGCCGAAGCGGGGGATGCCCGCGGGACCCGCCAGGGCTCTGCGGCATCCTGCCTGCGGGGCGCTCCCGGGGGACGGGGCTGGGACCCCCGCCCGGTTCCCCGCCGGGATGAGCGGGGTGTCACCGCGCCAGCCGCACCTCGAGCCCCGCACACGTGAGAGCGCGGGGGCGAACCCTGACACGCGGGGAGCGCCGTGACCCACACCGAGAGCCCTGACCCACACCGAGAGCCCTGACCCACACCGGGAGCCCTGACCCACACCGGGAGCCCCGGCACGCGGAGGGAACCGTGATCCCACCGGCAGGAGCCTGACCCCGCCAGGCACCGGCGGCGGAGCGGGGACGCCGCCCGAGGCTCGCGGTGCCACCCGCCCGTCCCCACCCTCCCGAACGCCTTCCGAGCCCCCGGCGCAGCGCCGAGCACGCCCCGGTGTAATGACAGGGCAGCCGGGGCCCGCGGCACCGTCCGCCCCGCTGCCGCCCCGACGCCGGGTGATGGACGCGCCCTGGGCCGGTTTGCCGCCGGCTCTTGCCAAAAAACCCGAACGAAAATAAGAACTGAGCCCAGATTCCCGGCAGGCCGAGAGGAGAGGGGTTGTCGCCGGGCGCCCGGCCAGGCTGGGGGACGCTTACCGCTGCATTTTAATTGTCCGGGCGGCAGCTGCTAATCACGGCCCGACGGCGACCGAAGCCCCGGGCGTGCGTCCGTGCCCGTCCCGCGGCGCTGCCGGGGCGCACGCAGAGGTCGTCCGGGCCCGGTCCCACGCCGCAGCCCCCCCGGCCGCTCTGCCCAAACAAACGGGAGCAGAGTGAGGCCGCGAGGTGCCGGCGCGGCGGCCGAGGGCGGCACGGCGGGCACCGGGAGCTGAGCGGCGCGGCGGTGCCGGTGCGAACTGGGCCGCCGCGACTGGCGGCTTCTATTTTGGGAGCCGTCCCGGTGGCTTCTCGAGTGACAAGCACGCCAGGGGGGTGGCAGACAGCCCGGCGGGGGCTGCCGAGGATCCGCACGGTGGCACGGGCGCCAGCAGCGGGGGCCGCTCGCCCACGTCCCCCCCCCGGTGCCCCCCGGAGCCGCTTCCCCCCACCCCGAGCGGAGCATCCCCGCTGCGCTCCGCTGGGCACAGGTGGGTTTGCGGGGACCGGCTCCATCCCCAGCTCCGTACCGGCTGCGGCCACGGCGCCCTTGCCCGGTTCCCGGCGGCAGGGTCCGTCCCGGCCCGCGGCGCGGCCGTTCACGCACCGGGAGTGCCCGCCCGCCCCGATCCCCCGCCGCGCCCGCTCCCGCTAACCTAAATAACTCGGTACGGCGGCGGGAGCATGTGCAGAGCGGAGCCCTCCCCCCTCCTGAAATATTAATGCCGCGGATGAGCCGGGCCGGGCCGAGCAGAGCCGAGCCGAGCCGAGCCGAGCCATGCAACTGGCCCTGCTGGCCCGGCTGCTCTCCGTCGGGCGGGCGGTGCTGGCGGCGCTGCGAGGGCGCCTGGGCGCGCTGTGCTGGAGCCTGGCTCCCTTGTCCCTGTCCCTGTCCCTGCTCGGCTGGCGGGACTCGCCCCCCCGGCCGCAGCGGGAGCAGGAAGGGGACGAGGCGCCCCCGACGCCCACCAGCGTCAATTATCACTTCACCCGGCAGTGCAACTACAAGTGCGGCTTCTGCTTCCACACGGCCAAGACCTCCTTCGTGCTGCCCCTGGAGGAGGCCAAGCGGGGGCTGGCGATGCTCAAGGAAGGAGGTGAGTCCACGGAAGGTGGGTCTGGAGGGAACCGGGGAAGGGGGGCCCCACTGGACCAAGTGCCGTGGAAAAAGTTATCCCGGGTATGTCCCTTGTCCCGCTGCTGTGGGGCACTGATAGATGAGCCGGGCCGGGCCGAGCCGAGCCGAGCCGAGCCGAGCCGAGCCGGGCCGAGCCGAGCCGAGCCGAGCCGAGCCGAGCCGAGCCGGGCCGGGGACACGCTCGCACCCTCGGCCGGGACCGGGACAGCTCGCCCGTGACACGCCGCCGGGCAGGGCTGTCCCCGGAGTGTCCCCCAGGCGCGACGGGAGGCACCGCACGCGCTCACGACATCCCGGGAGCCCCGTCAGGGGCCCGGGCTGCGGGAAGATCCCCGGTGGGAGATGGGGCTGGACATCCCGGGAGCGGCGGGGAGCGCGGAGAAGGGCCCCGGCCCCATCCCGACACCGTCACCTTACCGGGGACACGGCCGTACCGGGACACGGCCGTACCGGGGACACGGCCGTACCGGGGACGCCGCCGCCGCCGTGCCGCCATGAGCGCGAGCACCGGGAGCGCGTCGCGCTCGGTGTGTCACGGTGACAGCCACCTGCCGCCCTGCACCATCCGCGGCACGGACCGGCGGCACCGGCAGGGCCCGAGCGGCGGCGGCGCGGGTCTCCGGGTGATGCCCGGTACCGGCAGCGGTGCCCGGTGCTGCGCGGGGCCGGAGCGCAGCCTGCAGCTCCCGGCGCGCCGGGNNNNCCGGGCCTTGCCGCCACCGGCCCCGCGGGCCCGCTCGGCCTCCGCCGCTCGGCCCGGCCCGTTCGCGGCCCGGCTCCAACCGCTCCATCCCCGGCGTCACCGCCCGAACCGGGCCCCTCACCCCCGGACGCTCCACGTCCGGAGGCCCCTCCGGCCTCGCCTGTCCAGCCCCGTTCGCGGCCCGGCCCCGCTCCATCCCCGCGGCCCCCCCGGCCGGTGCTGGCGGGCGGCGCGGCCGGTAAGGCGATGCGGCTGATGTCAGCGGCGCTGCCCGCTCCCCTCGTTGCCCCGCGGGCGGCCCCGCCGCACTCACCGCTCGGCCGCGGCCGCCGCCGCTCCGCTGCCCCCGCTCCGCTGCTCCGGGACCGGGACCGGGACCGGGCCGGAACCGCACGGGCCGACCGCGCCTGCGCCGCCCCCCCCGCGGGCGGTGCCAACCGCCTCGCCCCGCCCCCGCTGCCATGGCAACGGGCGCGACCACGCCCCCTTGGCTCATTGAAACGGGTTGGTCACGCCCCCTTCGCCATCGCAACGGGCCTGGACACGCCCCTCTTTGCTGCCATGGCAACGGGCATGGCCACTCCCCCTCCGGCCATGACAACAGATATGGCCGCGCCCCCGTCGCCATGGCAACGGGGCCGACCAACGCCCCCTGGTGGCGGGCGGTGGCGTCTGCACCCCCCGAACCCTCAGGGACCCCGAAACACCCCAGACCCCTAAACAGCCCCAGACCCTCTAAACACCCCCTAAACACCCCTCAAACACCGCCAGACCCCCTAAACACCCCCTAAACACTCTCTAAACACCCCTCAAACACCCCCAGACCCCCTAAACAGCCCCTAAACAGCCCCTAAACACCCCCAGACCCTTCGGGGACCCCCCTACACGCCCCCAGAGCCCTCGGGGACCCTCGGGGCCGTTCTGTGACCTTTCAAGACTCTTCCCGGCCCCCCCCACCCCGGTGTCCCCCAGGACCCCTCCAGGATCCCCCGAGCCTCCCCCGGGTCCCTCTGGAGCTGCCCAGGACCCCTGGGGGACCCTCCAGGGCTCCCCCCTCCGGGACACCCCCAGGGACCCTCCCGAGAGCCCCTCGGGACCCCCGGGCACCCCTGGGGACCCCCCTGTGACACACCCAGAGCCCCCAGACCCCCCTGAGCTGGGGTGACCTCGTGGTGACAGGGCCAGCTCTGTGGCCCCCCCCCCCCCGGTCTCGCCGTGTCCCCACTTGTGTCCCCATGTGCCCACACGTGTCCCCAGACCTTCACGCGTGTCCCGTGTCCCCCTGGGTGCCATCTCCGTGCCTGTCCCCACGCGTGTCTGCCCGTGTCCCCCCCATGTCCCTGTGTCCCCATGACCCCCTCAGTGTCCCCATGTCTCCCACCGTGTCCCCATGTCAGGGCTCTGTGTCCCTCTGTCCCCCCATGTGTGTCTCCGTGCTGTCCCGTGTCCCTATCGCTGTCCCCTGTCCCCCCTGTCCCCGTGCTGTCCCCTGTCCCCGTGCTGTCCCCCGTGTCCCCGTGCTGTCCCCTGTCCCCCGCTGTCCCCTGTCCCTGTCCCCTGTCCCCCGCTGTCCCCTGTCCCCCGCTGTCCCCTGTCCCTGTCGCTGTCCCCTGTCCCCGTGCTGTCCCGTGTCCTTGTTGCTGTCCCGTGTCCCCCGCTGTCCCCCGTGTCCCTGTCCCCCGCTGTCCCGTGTCCCCGTGCTGTCCCCTGTCCCCCGCTGTCCCCAGAGGCGCAGGCGGGGCTGTGAACGGTCTTTAATGAGCACACAACGGGCGGTTCCTACATCGGCCGTGCGACACCGGGGACACGGGACCCGCCGGGCGCCACCGCCCCGAACACCTACGGGACCTACGGGGAGGGCACAGGGGACACGGGGACACGGGGCTGCCACGCCCCGGCACCGGCGACACCGGCCCGGGGGCAGGGCTGGGCAGCCGGCAGGGAGGGGACAGCGGGAGGGGACACGGTGTCACCTGGGACCTCACCTGGAGGGGAGGAGTGACCTGGGAGGGACATGGGCCTCACCTGGGACCTCACCTGGAGGGGAGGAGTGACCTGGGAGGGACATGGGCCTCACCTGGGAGCTCACCTGGAGGGGAGGGGGACAGCGGGAGGGGACGCGGTGTCCCCTGGGACCTCACCTGGGGGGGGGGGGGGCAGCGGGAGGGGACACGGTGTCCCCTGGCAGGAGGAGTGATCTGGGACCTCGCCTGGGACCTCACCTGGGACTCACCTGGCAGGGGAGGGCTGGCACAGGTGTCACAGAGGTGGGACAGGGGACACCTGCCCAGGGGTTCACCTGAGCACAGGTGCAAACACCCCCTGGGCCTGTGCAGGTGTGACACAGGGGTGTGACACGGGTGTGTGACCTAGGGGTGTCACCTGGGTGTGTGACAGATGTGTGACCCAGGGGTGATCCAGGTGGGACAGGTGTGTGACCCAGGTGGGTGACACTGGTGTGTGACCCAGGTGTGTCACCCTAGGGGTGTGACCCAGGTGTGACAAAGGTGTGTGACCCAGGTGTGTGGCACTGGTGTATGATCCAGGTGTGACTCAGGTGTGACCCAGGGGTGTCACCCAGGTGTGTGACACAGGGGTGTCACTCAGGTGTGACACTGGTGTGTGACCCAGGGGTGTGACCCAGGGGTGTGACACTGCTCACTGTGGGGCTGGGGGAGCTCTGGGGGTGGGGGGCGTGTGGG